TCCCGTGGGTAGAAAGTCACCTTGCTGGAATTGGTGTTATACGAGAGGCCCGCTTTTCCATCGGAAAGTAATGGCGGTGTGCCTATCTATTATTATATATCTGTCACAGACATCTGTGAATCTTAATAATGGCTGCCTGGTTACATTTTGTACAGAGATAGATTTGGAATATGCTAGTATATTCCTATTTCTGTTTTGTGCAAGCTGTAGTTACATGGAATTGGGCAACTTTCATGATTTTTAAAAAATTGTTGGTTGTTATTTGATGTTCAGGACTTCAGATGAAATATTGGTAGGGTTTTGATTGTTATGGACACCAAGCATGTACATGTATATTTGTATATGAAAAGAATAAGTAGAAATTATGTTGTTTCCCAGTATTCTTTCATGTTTTCCTTTTCCAAGAAATTTCCAATTTTGTTTTCCTTTGTGTTTCCTTTTCCTAGAAATTCCTAATTTGTTTTCCTTCATGATTCCTTTTCCTAGAAATTCGGAATTTCGTTTTCTTTCATGTTTCCTTTTTTCCTAGAAATAGTGCTTCATGCAGGATGCACACATTGATATTACTGCTTATGTTGTTCGCTAGTCCACTGAACTTGTAAAAGCAATTTGAAAGGTCAATGGCATGTTTATGTCTGCCTGATTTATTGTAGTTTAGAGGAACACTGCGGGGGTTTCTATAAGTATGGGGCTAGGTCATGGGGCAGGGTAACTTACTTTGTTGTGCAGAGTTCTGGAAAGAATATGGGGCATTCAGGCATGCTGAAAGGGCAATTGTTATGTCAGATTTCCAGCAATTTCAATTCTTATTCAGTACGAGCCATTTATTCACATAATTTGGATGTAGTAATAATTCCTTACCGTAGTATTCGTTTGGATAACAACTTTCAAGTCTTATACATGTCCTAACTAACTTATTCTTGTTTAGCATCAAATTTTATTGTAATTGATAAAGACTTCATGTGAAGTTAAAATCTGGAAACTAATGTAAAAGAACAGGTATATTCCAGTGAACTGAACTGATTTTGTCTGGGCTGTAAAGTTGTGATGAATTGTCAAATTTTATCGAACTTCAAAAAGCCTGAAATTAGGACACTCAGATTGAAAAAAAAAGGTATATTCTAGAGAAACTGGATTAGATCTGAGAAGCAGTATTCTGACTTGATGTTGCCCTAGCTGTAAAGTTGTGATGAATCCTCTCGGGGCGCTCATATCCATCCTGCCAACTCCGTGTGCGTCACACAGTACCATTAACAGTCCCGGTGTTAGTACTGTTACCCTACAGTCATGCCCCAGGGCTACATCGTATGCCATAGCTCGAAATCCATTTTTGGGAATATAGGTGCACTGGTGCACCCAACCTAAAAAATTAGGTGCACAGAAACTTTTTTGGGTGCACCATATAAAACAAAACCTAATTACATGTCTTATTGCTCCTCTTCTGAGCTTGAATCTGCAATGAGAGCTAACTTCAAAATCTTAAATATATAATTATATTACTACAACAAAGATTTTTCTGATACTTAGAAGTTAGAGACCAAGAATATCCGGTATACTATTATACATTTCTAATGTTAAAAAATCCTACAAAAATATTTGGGTTGACCCACACAGAAAAAAATTAGGTGCACAACTCCAACTTTGGAAGCACTAAGGTGCACATGCACACAGTATTTCGAGCACTGTATGGCTTAGACCTGCCCTCAGGGAAGGGTACTACACTCACCTCTGGGTAGGCAATTGCAAGGTGGGGAGCCAGATTTGATTTAGACAAGGCCCAGTAGACTGGAGTTCGCACTGAATACTGATGAGTAAAGTAGTGGTAGAAATAATTTTTTCAGTGCCAAAATTTTGTTCTGCAATTCGGAAATTCTTTCTGCAAATATACACTTGAAAGTCTGGATTTAAATCCAATTGTCAAGGTGGGGGGCCAGATTTGATTTAGACATGGCCCAGTAGACTTGAGTTTGGACTAAATACTGATGAGTACGTAGTGGTAGAAATACTTTTTTAGTGCCAAATTTTTGTTCTGCAATTCGGAAATACTTTCTGCAAATATACACTTGAAAGTCTGGATTTAAATCCAATTGTCAAGGTGGGGAGCCAGATTTGATTATGACATGGCCCAGTAGACTGGAGTTTGCACTGAATACTGATGAGTAAGTAGTGGTAGAAATACTTTTTTTAGTGCCAAAATTTTGTTCTGCAATTCGGAAATACTTTCTGCAAATATACACTTAAAAGTCTGGATTTAAATCCAATTGTCAAGGTGGGAAGCCAGATTTGATTATGACATGGCCCAGTAGACGTGAGTTTGCAGTTGAATACTGATGAGTAGCTAGCCTGCAGTGTTAGACATACTTTTTTGCAATGTCAAAATTTTGTTCTGCAACTTTCTGCAAATACACAATTAAAAGTCCGGATCTAAACCCAATTGGCATATACAAAATTGCATGTTGGAAAACATTTTACATGCAGTTTGAAAAATACATGCAAAACTACTTGTACACATGTATATTATAGAGTCAGCACTTAACACAAAAGCTCTTAAACACCATTGAGCCCCAAGCGTAATTTTGTTAAGTCTGCAAACTTGCAGGTTGCTTAATTTTTCTTCAGCTTGCAATGATGTCTCTGCAAAATGCAGGCTAGATGGGTATGTCTAAGACTGGTAGGTGTAGGTATCGGTGAAAGGATTTGGTGTAAGCTGTGGAGATGCAGAGTCTGTCAACCGGACAAGTTATAGAGTGCTTCAAGATTTAAGGGATATTTTGAGGATCTCCAAGTTCAAGGAGATATAAGGGAGCAACTGCAAGAGAAAAACAACCAGTCATATATGAATTATGATCTTAGAATTGAAAGTTATAGAGTGCTTTAGATTGAACTTTTTCAGGGTATTTTAGGTCTCCAAGTTCAAGATCAACCTCTAGATATAAGGGATAAATTGCAAGGGAGTCTCTCCATTGTTAGTGACAGGAAAGAAGAATATGTAGATCAGAACAGGATCATTCTCAGTCACCAATGAATGAAAGAAAGTCAAGACTCAAACGTCTGACTCTGAAGAGGATCTTTCCAGCTACTTGATTTATTTTGACTTTTGTAATGTTCTACCTACGAGTAAATGTCTAGACCCTTTGTCGACATGTCAAGAATATAGATGTGAGGATATTCATTCCTAAGTCCATGAGGTGTTCAGGTCACACCAAAGCAACATTTCACCTACCAACCTGTCATGATACAAGCCCTGTAGAAGCCGAAGGTACATTTGCAGATGACATTATCATCATTTTTAGATGACAGACTGACAAACGTTAGCAGTTGAAGTATAGCTTGGTCTTGTATTTTATGTACAAGTAAGGCATTTCTAGCAACCTACCTAGGCTATAGCTAATTCTTTTTTTTTAATGGCACAGAGTTCGATGGAATTTTAGCTGTGCCATTGTGCCAGACATTGATCATATGTGATGGACCTTTGAACAAAATTATTTTGTACAAGTAAGGCATTTCTAGCAACCTCCCTAATTCTATATTTTTTAATGGCACAGAGTTTGATGGAATTTTAGCTGTGCCTTTGTGCCAGACATTGGTCATACGTGACCTGGACCTTTGAACAAAGTCCAAGTGCAAGTGCAAGTGCATGTATTATGTACCCGAGTCAGGCCTCTAGGGTCGTGGCTTAAAGTAAAGCCCAGGTGGATCAATCAGTCCTTTTGGCCGAGGTCCCAGACTCAGACTTAGGCCACACCATCTTAATTTTATGGATGACATCCCCTGAAGACCCCCAAACTTGTGCGCGCGGGCGAATAAAAAATTTACGGTCCAAAATAAAAATGCTACTAAATCACAGGAATACACACGTACAAAGCTGGTATTGTGAATTTGCGGCAGTATATAGCGACGTATACGACAAGCCGGCATATGCTGGCTTTTAGCGGAATTTATTAATCGGCACTGTACGCATGTGCTGAGTTCTTGAGTCGTGGAGCTTCTGTAGCCTGGATGCCCGGTCCCGTATTGTCGCTAACTACCATGGACTACCCAGGCCTAGAGCCAGGCCAGAGCCTCGGTGGACGTGATTTCTTTTTTTTTTT